ACAATTCAAATTTGATGCTAGGAACAGTTGGCAACAAGGACTTGGAGCGAGTGAGTTAAAAACCAGACCCTCTTTCTGTCCTATTTTATCCTCAATTATGTTTATACTTGAGTGAGGTACACCAGGACTGGGGAGAAGAATGGGCTTTTCCAACAAAAACGTTGCATCATCTTGAGCAAACGTGTGCTCCTTAGAGAGTGCCTGGACTGCAACTGCTCAAGGTCATTTTCTTTCACATCCACCTGGACTCCTCCGCTAAAAGGTGCACCTCACCCGACTCTCGCCTGATGGCAGTAGTGCTGCCTGCTCAGAGATCTAGTCACTGCTGATGATCAGAACCAGGGCCCGATGTTCGGCTGGGATGAACCAGGACCCCTGGCTATGGTGTAATGGACAGTGTCAGTTCTGACCAGTTGGATAGCCATTCTAACAAGTCAGTGCCTAGAGGGACCAGTTGTTAAATATCTTGATGATCACCTCTGGTCCAGATGCCCTGATGCCCAACCACGTGGCACGTAGAAGCGAGGAAGGCCCATTCAGCTGAGAGCAGAACCAGGTTTACAATAGAATGGGAGTCTTCCTTCCTCAAGAAGCTTTAGCCCAAGGCCCCACCTGTGAGTCTGGGATGCCCATGCCCAGGGCAGGTGAGCTTGTCTGGCTAGCCAGGGGACAGTGCTGTTCTGTCCTCTAGTGTCACCCTGAACTTGACCGGACCAGAGGAGCATTTCAGGGAGATGATCTCTGAGTCCTTCTCCAGTCCTCATCATTCACCTTCCTTCTTTCTAAACTACTGAGGGAAAAACTACTGAGGCCAGACCAGGTTCTTAGGAAAATGCTGGGCCTTTGAAAGAACCCTGGAGAATGAGTTAGGAAGGCTAGTTCTGAGACCTATTCTGTAACATTACTGCAGGGGGGAAAAGAATTCAGAGACAGGGCAGTCTAGCAGGGTGGCCAAGAGCACAGGCTTCAGCTTCTCGTAGAACGAGGTTCACTTGCTTCATCTCGAGCAGGTTACACAAACTCTCTGAGCCTCAGTTTCCTCACTGATAAACTGGAGAGTGCCACAGTACCTAACTGAGAGAGGTTCAAGGATTGAGTGGACTAGTGCTCTAAAGCAGTAGGCACAGTGTCTGGCACACAGAGCTCAACAAACAGTAGCTCTTGGTGCCATGGGTAGGTGACGACTAGGATGTCATGAAGATGACATGTGTTATGTCTATAAAGCTCTTGGCTCACAGCTAGTGCTCAATAAATGCTAACGAGCTTCATCCTCTTCATCTCCACCACTGTCTTGATTACTATTATTATGACTAGTTACCTCCTCTCTAACCAGAGTTCTGTAGCTCTGTCATGATTAGAGGAGCTCATCTGGGGATTAGGCCATTGGGTTACAGACGAGGTGACCTGTGCAGGCCCACCCTTCCTTAAGCAGCCAGGGTGTGATCTTGGATAAGTGATGTTGCTTCTCACAATCAAATTTACCCTGATGGTAAAAAGAGAGGAGGAGTCTTAGGGGGAGCTCTGCACTTCCTTCCCCTCCTAAGGCTCTGTGATTATCAGCCCTGCTCAAGGATGTTGTGTGTGCCCATCTCTGGACCAGATCCAACAGATGTTTATTGAATGTCTTCCGAATGCCAGGTTGTGCAGACACCAAGGTGGGCAAGACAGCCATGCCCCATATCCCCCTCATGGGGGTTACACTCAAAACTAAACCCCAGGGGACAGTCAGAAAAACATGTTAGCTTATAACTTGGTCCAATTGACCCTAAAACTTGGGATGTTGCATGAGTTGACCAGGAGCTATGTTACCAAAGCCCCATGCAACCTCTGATTTAGAATTTCAACTTACTCCTTGTTTGGGTGCTTAGCAGAGAACTCATCTTTCTACATTTCTTTTTCTCATTCAGCCCGAGGGAGGTATTTCCACAAGTGAGCGAGTTAGAAATGGAACTTTGAAAATCATCACTTAGGAAAAGAGACATGTCTCTAGAAAAAGATCCTGGAAGAAAGCCCTGCCCCTCACCACCCGTTATGAGATTCCTCGGGCAGGACGGGACCTCTGAGACCGCCACATAAAAAAGCCTCATTTTATAAGAAAGGGAATTAAGAGCTTAAGAAAAGTTATTTCAGTTTTGTTCCTCCAGACAATACAGGTGTAATTCTCTTTCCTCTTTCACTTCTCATTCCTTAATCCTTGGAAAATTTACTCCAGAAAGGTTTCTTCCTTCTCTCCTAACAGATCACAGGGTCCCATTGTTCACTGCCTTCCAGAAACAGCCATCCTTCTCCACAACCATTGTTTTCTCCCAGGGACTGACACTGGCAGGTAATTTGCAATCTTCCCTCGCACAGGTGGAGACCAAGTTGGGGAAGTGTGAGCAGGGTTGGTACAAGAGCACCATGGTCTCAAGTCTGATTCCAGTTCTCCTGGAAGAATCTATGGTGAGGAAGACAGATCCCCACACCTGGAGCTCCTCCCTAGTCACTGTGCCAGGGCACTTACCACACTGCGCCCCTGCTGGCCGCTCAAAGTTGGGGGGTTCCAAGGATTAAATAACTGACCGTGAAACCTTGCTTGTAAGCAGATACAGGGGCTGCTGGGGTTCCCATCCTCTGCCGCATCTCCTTCCTCCCCCAACCACAGCAAATCCCAGATCTGCCTGCACTCCTCTGAGTCAAACATGGGTACTGGGGGAGACAGGTGTCTCACATCAGGACTGGTCAAGCCACAGGGCAGCCAGAGGACAGCCAGAGTGAAGGACAATGCCATGAAAGATAAACCATTTCGCCTGTTTGACAATTTTTCCCAGGGTCAGCCCAGGCAGAGACCCCCGCCCCCCCACCCCAGAGAAACATGTCCCAGGGGGCACATCCATAGCAGAAGAGCCCTGGGTTTTAAATATATATGTACGTGCCCTTCTCAGCTCAGGCCTTGGAGCTTATGCCCGGACACCCTGTTGGAACAACCAGATGTGGGGAGTGGAGGCTTTACAATGCATTTGGCAGGAAAGCGCAGCATTATGTGCAAAGTGATTTCCTGATTACATTTTAAAGATCAAACGTCCCTGGTCTGTAGAAGGTATTCGGTAAAAGTTCGGTGCATGGAGAAGTGAAGGATGCCTGAATGACCGCAGCTCACCTTACGTTTTTAAAGCAGAACAATGGGCAGCCGCTGGTCCTTTCCTCTCACATGTCAAGGTCAGCAAGTGGTCTATGCCAAGCAGAACCCACCTTTGGGAGGAGAGGGGGGAGCCAAGAGGAAGGCTCTTCCCACTGTGTCGTCCATCACCCCAAGACTTGGCTTGCCCGATTTCCTTTCCGATCCATGTTTTTGAGGAGAACAGCTACGGAAAGTAGCGCGTTTCTCTATCTCCCCATGGGAGCTGGTGGCATGTCTCGTCGTAACCGACAGGGATTTGTGAAAGTTTTCGGAGCTCTTAGGGAAACCGAGGAGGAGGAGGAGGAAGAGGCAGAGAGAGGGGTTCTTGAAGTGCAGTGGAGTTCACAGAAAGAATTCTGGGGTGGCGGAGATGGGAAGGGGCAGGGAGAAAAGGAGAGAGCAGGAAGTGAAGCCTGCCTCAGGTTTGGGTCCATAGGGCCCTGGCATCCTGGACCCTGGACTGGCATTTTCCTTTGGAGGGATCTGTCAGCGTAGCGGGCCCTCAACTCGCGCTGACAATGAATGAAATAACAAATGGGACAAAGGAGGGGCGCACGCGGCGCGGACTCGCGTAGGGCGCCCAGCTGGCTTGGCACTAGCCTCACGGAGGAAAGGACCTACTGCCCACTCTGCGACCTCACCTTCTCCCTGCCCGGGGCCTGGAAGCTCTCCCGGGGCCCCTCAGAACCCTGGCTGCCTCCCCACCTGCCCACCGCTGTTGGAGGCTCTGTGTGGGGCCGAAGCGGAAAGGGGCCGGGCCGGCTTGCGGGAGACTGCCCGGCGGGGCGCGAGTCTCAGCCTCAGGGACCCACGGCGGAGGCGTCCTGCGCCGCAAGTGCGCGCTCCTGAAGTCCCGCGCCAGGGCAAGGACTCGCGGTCCCGCCCCACCTCAAGAGATCAGAGAAAAGAGAGGGCGAGCCCGTGCTCTTGGGGGCCCAAAGACCACCGGGCGGCGGTACAGACTTTCCTGAAAGGGCTCCGTCTCCGCGTTGAGAGCGCACGGGAACCTGGGGGGCGCAGGGGGCGCCGCGCCGTTAGCTGAGCTTCCAAAGCCCGGCGAGGGCGGGGGTCTCAGCCCAGCCCCGCGCGCTCTGCCTCTAGCGGTACCAGCCCGCGACCCAACGCCGGGCTCCCGGGCCGGCGGGAGGCGCGTGTGTGTGTGATGCTCAGCTCGGCATCCGGACGCACGCGGTGCCCGGAGCCCAGCCTCCCTAGGAGGGCAGTGGCAGGCTCCGGCCACATCCCAGAGCCCACGGGAGCTAAAAGAAGCCCGGCGGGAGAAGCAAAGGCGGGCGGCTGGACAGTGGGGACACTGGGGACACTCCCCTTCCTGGGAGCTCGTGCAGAGCCCCTACCCTCAGCTCAGGCCCGGGGATCCCCTCCCCCAGCTCAGAGATCCCCGCGCGCCCCCTGCCCACTTTGCCAAGGCGAGAAAACGGCCGAGCCGGAGACAAAGAAACTCCTGCCTCCTCCACTCTCAGCCCCTCCACCCGCCCCAGACACTCCCCGGCGCCCTCCCTCGACCCCGGCGACATCGCGCGTGGACAAGCCGGGGAAGGGGGGGCAGGGTGGGCGAGACTGATCACTGACGCCGGTCAGCTGGAGGGTGCCCATGCTCCCCGCCCGGGGACACCCTACGACAGCCGCGTCCCCACCCTCCGCTTCCCAAACCGTCCCGTGCCCCCGGCACCGCCACCCGAGGCCAAAACCGTCCCCCCCTCTCCAGTAGAGCGATAGGGGGGCGCGGCGCACACAAAGCGACTGTGGGGTGAGGTGGGAGAGTCCTGGGGTGGGAGAGATCCCGCCAGGGCTCGCCACGGGCCCGGGCGCAGCTATTTACCCGATTTCTTCTTCGATCTCCGAGATGTCTGCGAAGATGAGGAAGACCACGAGCAGCGTGAGCGCAGCCAGCATCCAGCTCCGGAACTGCAGCTGCATGGTGGGTTCGCGCCCGCCGGGACCCGCGCGGGCCGGCGCGAGGAGCGGGGGCTGGAGGGCGCAGCGCCAGGCGCCGGAGCCTCCGCGCGCTGTGCGCTGCTGGGCAGACACCCTGCGCTCCGGAGGAGTCCGGGCCAGCGGCGGCGGAGGCGACAGCGGCAGGCAGGGGTTGCTCAGGCGCGGCGAGCCCGCTCGCTCCCTCTCGGCTCCTGCCCGCCCCTCCTCTCCCCACCCCGCCTCTCCCCTCCCCTTTCCTCCCCTCTCTTCCCCCGCCCGGCGCGGGGCTCCGCGCGCAGTTTGACAGCTTTGCTCCGCGCCTCAGCTCGCCTCCTCCCGCCCTAGTCAACTCCACTGTCCAGCCGCCCGCCTTTGCTTCTCCCGCCGGGCTTCTTTTAGCTCCCGTGGGCTCTGGGATGTGGCCGGAGCCTGCCACTGCCCTCCTAGGGAGGCTGGGCTCCGGGCACCGCGTGCGTCCGGATGCCGAGCTGAGCCCGGGGAAGAGCGCGCACTGCCCGGCTACCCCGCCGGCTGGTAAACGCCCTCCCTCGCCCGCTCTTTGTCCAGCGCCCTCGCTTTCTCGCAAAGTTTTCCCGACACAAAGACCAACACCTGGGGACAGCCCCCAGCGCGCGGCGAGGAGGCGGTTTCAGCCAGGCAGATGTTTCAGCAGTTGACGAATTAGGAGAGGATGTGGGGAGAAGGGGAGGGGGGAAGAAATATCCACGACAGGCCAACTTCGGCGGAGATGCTGATTGCAATTTGTGGGCGAGGTGCTCGGCCCGCGAGAAACTACCCGCTCCCGAAGGTCACCTAGCTCTCCATTGATAGACCCGAGACTGGGTCCCGAGAGGCTCCCTGAGTCGCCTGAGGTCAGGCAGTCCTGGCTGGAACCCTCGGCTTCTGCTGAAGTGGCTGCTCTTCCCACAATGGCAGACTCAGCGCCCGCCCTGCCTTGGCCCTTGCGGTGCTCACTACAGGCTGGGCATCACCTCCCCAGCTCTTGCCCTTTCCTCGCAGAATTAGTAGCCCCGGGAGTCCTGTTTTGATCCAAAGGCCTGCTAGAAAATGTGGCTCCCACAAGGGGCAATGCCCCCCATGCCGAATATTTTACGCCTCCCCAGCATTAGACAGTTTAACTCAAATTACATTTTGCACCAACCATCAGCCTGGGGTGGGAAGGGTTCCATTAAGTTTTACTGGAATTAGATAATTACCTAAATTTCTTGTTCTTGCACTAATTGGAACAATCTTGAAATCAGGAATTGTAAATTCCTAGAAATGATCATGTAGTTGATGAAAGGGTCCTTGGGGGTTGAGTTTGGGGAAGAGTCTTGTTCTAGAAGCTACATGGAATGTCCTAACTTCCTGGAGAGGAAATGAATGGGAGGGGCAGATTGACTATGCCCCCAGGGCTACCCTTACCAGAGCCAGGCCTCAGAGGAGCTCTGGTAGGGCCTGGCAGTGGCTAAATCCTTTCAGGGGGACCCTGGAGAGGTAAGAAGCCTTTTGGGATTTCCCCACCAAAGCACTGCCTGTGCGGAGTTCTCCTGCCTCTTTGTGTGTCAGAAAGAGGGGCAGAGGTGGGGCTTCCAACCAGGGGGCTGCTGCACCCCTGTTGTTGACCCTGGGAGCCAGGACAAGCTCTCCCCTGCGGGAGGAGTTCCTGTCACCCTGCCTGGAGAGCAGGAAAGAGAAGCGGCACAGAGAAGTGGGGAAAGCTCTGCATGTGGGGAGCAGATATCTTTCCCCCAGAGGAGGAATGTCCTGATTCCCATGACAGAGCTTCGGTTCCTTACCAACTCTTGCAAGATTTGTGCGCCTCCACTCCTTTGCCAGTATCTTCCTCCAGAATAACACATTTTGGGGGGGCGAGACTTTCTGATGTTGAGTACCATGTTGGGTGTCACTCTCCCTGTCCCTTACTGGTGGTAATAGACATCAAAAGAGTGTTTCCCTTCAGCTCAGCTGGCCTCGTGGTCTAACTGTCCTGTCTCCAACTTTTCCAAGCTCACAGATCTTTCCCTAGGTCTTGCTCGATGGGTGGTTTGGGAGTTGTGGAGCCATGTTTGTTATGTTTTGTCTTTTTTTTCTGAGATGAGTGGTTGGGACATCGGAATAGGGAGAGGTAAGAGCAGGGTGCACCTGTTAGGCTGCTCAATGTTTCAATTACTCATTCATTCGCTTCATGACTCAGTGATATTTACTGAGCACCTACCCTGGGCCCGACTCTGTCTGGGGGCTAGAGAAACCAAGAGAGGGCGACACACGTTTCCTGCCCTCTAGTGGCTCAGGGTTCAGGAGGAAGACAGACATACAACTGCATAATTATGGTATGGGATGTGAGCTACAATACAGCTATGGTCTCCTGTGTAGCTTATAACTGATTAACAAGATCACGCAAGAGAGCAGGAAGAAACTGGCCGGCCTCTCTGCTCTCTGCTTCTCTGCCAACTACACTGTTACTGTGCAGATCATCGTGGAGAGACTGTGTGATCCTCAATCCGTCCCAGGACAGGTAAACCTCATTGCTACAAGCACTGTTACAACAGAGTCTATTTCCGTTTTCTATTAGGTGACCTAAGCTATCATTCCAGGCTCAGAGTCTTCCTTCTTTGGATCCACTTGAGAAGAGTCATTATGAGTGGCCAGGAAAAGTGGAAACTTGTTGAACAGTTCCACTCCTTACAGAGGAATCCTTGTCACCAGACCCACAGAGCAACATCCCTCAAGTACATCTGCTGGGAAATAGAGCGAGCTTTGTAATGTAGAGGATGTCTTTGCACTGAGAGTCATTGAGACGGGATTTTACTCGGAGAGTGCTGGGGAACCCTCATGACAGTTGACCATGAAATGCTGTCTGTATGCATTTCAGTTTGAATCTGTGTGGACCAGCTTCTTTTACCATGATCTGTGCACATTCATGGCCACTTGCAGCTGTCTCTGAAAACTGAGTTTGTCCTGCGGATCTGGAAAGAGGAAGAATGATCCGATTGGCAGCAAGTGTCATGCCTGCTGATGCTGGGTAAACTGCCATATGGCACATGCTTGGCTTGGCCACCCTGACCCCTGCCTCCCTGCGATCCCTCTGTTTAAGCAAGTCCCTTTCCTTGCCTTGGTTTAGGCTAAGTCATTGACTGTTTGGGTTAAGATACAGGAGTTATATGGGAGTGGCAGCAAATTAAAAGTCATTACCACTTATTAACATTTTAACTCAAACTAATAGAATGTATTAGCTATTCTGGCACCTAATAAGGCCCTGAGAAGTGCATATTCATGAGGGATACCGGAGCAGGAAGCTCTGGAGAACCCTGAAGGGGCCCAATGGAGTGACAGCCAGCAGTCCTGTCTCTGACACTGGCTAAGAGCGTGCGTCTCCTTCCAGATGCCAGCTCCCACCCAGAGCAGAGATTCACGGAAACCCCAAGACTATCTACTATTTGCACATCTAACTAAACTCCCCCCTACTTCTCGCTCCCCGATGTGTAGAGTTTTCACCTGAACCACTTCTTGGGAGTCATAAAGAATCGTCCTGGCAATCCTTTCATATAGGTACCATCACCTCCATTTTACATCTGAGGAAACTGAGGTTCAAAAGAGACTATGTTGCCCGTGATGGCTTAGGTCACAGAGAGGGAATTTTAATTCAGTTGCCTTCCCTGGGCCTCAGCGATGTCTGGGATCATGGGATTGCCAAGGCCCCCCAGCGCTTCGGGCAGTTCTAAATGGATTTGTGAGCTGGCACTGCCTTTGAGTCTTACTGTATCCCCTTAGTTCTGGTATGCCAGGATTCAGGGAACAAATTGATCTTTGCTCATTGCACACCCTTCATCACTGCTAAGACTGTAATCATAAATCTCAATTTTCATCTTTCCACATGGAAGAGATTAGTCCTTTCAATCAATCCAAACTTTTTTTTTAACTCAATAATAAGTAACAATTTTCCTATCCGAAATTCTGACCTAGTACCAAACACTCTTGAACTTGCTCAGAAAGCAGTTTAGGACGTTATAAAACTACACAGTGGTACTTGCTTTTTCATCATCTCTGAAGGAGGAGCTGTGAACGGCTATCTGCAGGGAAAGTAAAGAGGTAAGATATCACAATTGGAATAGAATTATAGGCTATTGTGTTTTTGCACCTCCAATAACTGAGAGAACCTGCCTTCGCTTTTGAAATTGACACTAAATTTGAATGTTCTCACAAATGTGGCATTTCCTCCCTCAAAATCAGAATTCAAGTGGTGACAATATGGAAAAGTGTAAGAGCACATTTGCATTCCATTTGTAGCTTTTGCAAATGGCAAAATTGTATATTAGCCAACGAAAGAAAAGAAATACACCCAGGCAATTGCTGTAAATGTTTCTGGGATTATCAGCAAAAGATCCTGGGAGGGACGTGGGCATGAGCTCCCCAGTGAGTTGGAAGTGATAGCAGAGGAGTGGGGAGATGGTTTGATATTTTGCTGGGATTTTTCCAGTCTTTTCAGTTGGGATTAAAGGTGGTTTTGGACCAAAGCATGAAGTCAGGTACCAGATGACAGAGATAAATGAAACAGAGTGTCCTCTCATGATTGTCACAGTGCTTCAGTGAAATTATCACTGTGATCTCTGATTCAGATTTTTCTGAATCAGCTCTCCCAACTTTGCCCAGAGTCCAGCACGACGCACCTCCCTATAAAGCATCTTAGGAAGCTGGCCTGTGTCAACTGTCCCTGACTCTCAGTCTTGTGTCACTTCCATTAGCCTCTCTTGGACCACAGACCTCCACATTCTGAGAGCTGGAAAGATGGGTAGAGATAGTATGCTCCTGTCCATTCATTCACTTAACCAGGGTTGCTTCCTCACCTATCGTGTCTGGAACAATGCCACAGGGCTGGGATGTAGTGAACTGGAGGAGCCCTTGTGGAGCTTGGAGTCCAGTGGATTTTACAGATGGGAAACCCGGGGACCCAGAGACCAAGAGACCTCCCATAGGTCTACGGCTAGTTTCAGGGCTGAGAACAGATTCTAGCTTGCCCGTCTCCTAGTTGAGTTCAGTGCAACTCCCAAGGGGTAAGGACCTTTATTCCCTTCTGGTCCCACATTATCTAGCATGGTGGAAACCCAATGAATACCTGTCCTCACCATGGCCAATTTCAGGCCACTACCATCATGTCGCCGAATGCAACATTGGGAAGAGGTTGCACTGGCATGCC